AAAAAGGGGCCCGAGAGGAAGGCAGCTGTTAGGAATTATGGCAGACTCAAGGTCTAGCACTTGGTCTTGCTCTGCAGTCCTCTCTTATCGGGCAGTATTGACAGACCCACAGCTAGACACTGACAGCAGCTAGTAGCTGCTTTTATCAATGCCAGCTGTGGGCCCTGCCAGTTCACTTCTCTTTCTTTAGAGGAGGCAAAAAGTGAGTCTAAAATACTGGGTTTTTTTTCCTTAAAATCTCAAATGTGTTTAAAGTAAGATGTGGTTTTGTTGATTTAAATGTGCCATTTTCCCACTCAGTCTGTAACTACTGAAGGCCAAACGCAACAATTATGTTACTTCTTTGTGCTTGCTCACAAGAAATTTCTTTCTTTCATTTGACACCATTTTCTTTTTAACTGGAGTCTGATAAAATTGAAAATCTGTAAATTAGGAAACAAAATAATTATGTCTGTTTTTCAAGGCAATAATCCAAGTCCCACATGACTAATAATGAAGCACTTAATACAGTAGACTGTTGAATCATTATCTCACAAAAATAATGCTCTAATGGTGCTGTTTACTATACACATAAGTTGCTATAGAAAAAAAGGTCTCCAAATGGCTGGTATTTCATAAGTAATACTAATGAGTTCAGAACTAAAATCCCTAGGTGTGATCAAAAGTTGGGGTTCTCAGCAGTCCAGAACTTAATAACGATCACATCAAGTACTCTGAATCCCATGAAATTTATAATCACCACTTGGTTGAATCAAACACAGACTAGTTTTTCATAGTTTTAAAGTTATATATATATATATATATATATGATTAAGTTATGTTTTTATTCTGATCAGTAAGAAGGATCAAATCACCACAAAACCAAAACAGATGTCTTTTGTATTTACATTCATGTCATTTTAATGGGTTGTGGTTTTCAGCATGCTCTGCACAGCTATTTAGGAAGTTCATTTAATAATTAGCTGACTTGATAACTTCTGACTGTCAAAGAAAGACACCATAATCCAGGAAGAGGAAGAGCTGGAGGATGGCTGCTTGTTTAATGTCCAGATAATTAAGTGTGTTGGACAGATGAGTATCTGCTTGATTTATCCCTTCTTTTGAAATCTTTAAATAAATTGTGGTTAAGATAGACCAGTTCTGACAGTTAAAAATATATATCCTTTTAGAAAATATGATACAATAATCTATTGTTCCAGTGCCGGAGTGCTGAATGAAACTAAGCAGTAAGGATTTTGGAAGACAAAGTATTGAGCTACAAACCTCCCAAAAGCAGAAAATGTAACTGCGATATTTTTAAACTTTTATACATTGCTTGTGTCCTTTTTGCTTCTTACAGGGTTTTTCATATAGAAAAAGAAATAAAAATAAAATATTATATTCTAGCTGTGAAATCAATAGTCTGATTCACATTGTTTTCAGTGTGCTGGATTCCACTAAGAGTTCCCTTTTAATCTCACATTCCTATTCTACAACTTCTGGACTACAAAAGATAGAAGGCTACTCTCTTTTCTCTCGATTGCCAGTCAAAATGTAGTTGAGAAATGCCAAAAACTAGGAAAGTTCTATAAAGTTTTACTGACTTAGAAGATAAGCTACAAAGGGACATTTTGCCTTCAGCAAGGTTTTCACCTGACTTTTTCTTTTCTTTAGCAAAGCACACCAGATTCTCGTGTTCTGGCAGAATTTACAAACACTGTACTTTTCCATGACGGTGGAACCTATTTCTTAGCACCACCTTCAAGCAGCTGCCCCAGATCCTAGAGGACACCGTAACTCTCCCTGTTATTCAATCCTCCTGTGGAAGGCAACCATCTGTGAGACACACTCCTGGACACCTGCTGCCCCAGCCAGCTGTTCCCATTCTGCGCTGCAGCTGCCACCTGTGACAGTAGCTAAAAGCCAAAACTGCTCAAGCAGGAGGGAAACCGACTGGCAGGCTGCCAGAGACAGAGGGGTGCAGTAAAACTCCAGCACAAAAGCTGCCATAAACCCACCTGTGTGTGAAACATCAAGTCACGAGGAGATAAACAGCGACTTTCAGCAAGCAGAAGGGCCCAGAGGGGCTCAGCAGGTTTCTTCCCCCTCCAGCAACTTCTGGGCTTTGCTACAACCAGTTTAATAACTTGTCAATTAATAGCTCCAGGGAATGGGAAAACTTGTTCAAGCCCTCTTCCCCTTCAGGAGCTCTGATAGGAAAAGACCAGAATCAGAGAGAATGTCTAGAAGATAGTGGGACGGTTCTCCATGTCTCATGGGTATCAGGAACTCCTGAAATAAAACTGAAATGGGATTTAAGTGGTACACGTGTCCTATGCTGGCACTGTGTGTGCATGGGCAATTTTTAGACTCCTTGGAACAGGGAGCACATCCAGAAGAACCAAAGAGGAGCTAAAACACTGATGGATGCAGATGGCCTAAATTCCTCAAGAATTTAGAGGAGGGGAAGTCACACACGACAAGAAGAAAACCCAAACACTCAGACAGGTTGTAAGATCCTTTTCATTCTCAATAGCAGAATTAATAGAACAAATTTGCAGCAGACACAAGCAAAGAACAGACTGAAAGCATCCCGATTTACAACAGAAGTGTCCCAAGAATGAATATTCTCTCTGTTCTGTCCACTTTTGCCAGTTAGTGTCCCATAAATTTTAAATAAAATGTTCAAACACACTTGTGCTGCTCAATGGAAAGAATTGAACAATTTGCCATCCAACATTAATATTAAAAAAGTGATGAGCTGATACACTACTGTTGGGTAGCTGCTTATCTCTGGTCTTCAGGGAAATTGAGTCAATTTTCAATAACTGATACACTATTATAATTAATATTTGCCACTAAATAAGTTAGTGTTGACAGTCATCACCATTTCTTGTAAATAGTTTCTAGATTTACAATAGCGTTGTAAAACATGGAAATTAAAATCAGTTGCCTTTTCCCCTGTGGCTTTGAAATCACATCATCAGTTTTCTGGTTTTCCAAGTTGTATTTTGGGCAGGTACAGTGTACACAATGTTGTATTATTTAACAGTAGAATGGTAATCACAATTAAAAATTAATATAAACTTGTTGCTGAAGTCCTTGCTTCTCAGTCTCTAATTCGGCAATGAAACAGAATGCAACATTTGAGAATAAAATGTAACTTAATCTCATTTCTTAAAAGGAGTTGTGTGAGTGTATATGCACATGTGTTCTCCACATTATAAATTCATTGAGCTTCTTTTAAAAGTCTGTTCAGAGGTAAGTGGAAAAAAACCTCTGTTTTCCCTTATTTCTTTCATAAGGAATGAAATTTGATTTGGGAACGAAAGCCTTTATTAATTATTTAGGGCTTTATTAATAAAACCCGTGAAGTTACTGTTAAATTTTGTTAGTGCATTTATAGCTTGGGAAACTGCCTTTTAAATACTGGAACAGGAATATGAGTAATTGCATAAATTGGAATGTTAGGTAGAAAACAATTTACTGCTGAAGGACATGGTGGAGCACAGTAATCAAGAGAATAAAAGTGTATATTGTGATGAGCAAAAGTAGCAAAATTTTAAGAGATGTGTGCCAGATTTAAGTTCTCAGATTAGACTGAACTATTTGAAAAAAAAAACCCTAAAAAAAAGATGCACTCAGCATGAACAGGCCTACTACCAGATGAAAAGCAGAAAAGACAGCAAACCTTGAGAAATAATCTACTTGATGTGGGTACCATCATGTTACATATTAAGCTTTGCATAAAATAAATGTATTTTGCCACAAAAAAATGGTACTGTGTCAGATAACGATATATACTATTCAGGATGGAATATCTGTTTTGTATTACCCAATATTATAATATTAGAGATCTCGAGTAAAATTTGTGGAAAAACAGGGATCTACACGGGTCTACACTGCAAAGAGGAAGAAGACCACAGTCACTTAGCCATTTTTCTACTGAGAAGGAGAGGCACAGGCAGGCAAATGATGTTCCCCTGTCCACTGAACCCTAGACTAATTTCTAATTGCACAGGAAAACTACCAATTCTTGGGGCATATTTAAGAACTCCAAACTGGACATTTTATATCCAGTATGACTAAGTCCAATATTAGCAGAAATCATCTTGGGCTTATTTCAGGCACTGTCAGAAAAATACCTTGTTAAATGTGGTTCCAGTTAATTTGACAGATATGCTCATTAGGCACGTTATTGTTATCCTACTCATTTCAGTAAAACAAACACATTCATAATTCTGTTTTATCCTCACTAACACTTCCAGAAACTGTGCAGGTATGAAACTATGATCTATGCTCTTCCTGACCCCACACTTCATCAAGCCAATGATTACATTTTAAATTGCTGTCTTTCCTTTGCAGGGAGGAAAGCTTTTGCTTTAAGGGTTGTGAACCAGTTGAACTGTAAATGAAAGCTCAGTTCATCCATCATTATTAAAGATGGAAAAAAAAAGAAAACACACAAGAATTTAATTTTCAGATCACAGGGCAGATGTTCAGATGTCAGAAAGCCACATTCTTATTCAGAGAGCCTTGAGATAACAGCACAGCAAAGAGCATAACCACCTCATGCAATAATACAATTAGAGGGCTCCTTATATTGTATCCTTACGTTAGAATGGGAATTTCTGGAAACTCTACCATCACAAGTCAGACTCAGATGCAAAGAGGTACAAGAGATACTGAGACACAAATGTGAATTCTGACAACTTTATAAGTAAGCCAATACTGCTTAGAGCACAAATTTTAAGGAAGATTGTTTGACCAAAAAATGCAGAAAAATACCAATGCACAGAACCTCCCTCTCTCTCTCCCACTCAGGGACAGGATGAAGGCAGATATAAATAGGTCTTTCATACAATTCACCCATGCCCAGTACTAAAAGTGGAATAAAAAAGGGGCAAACCCCTACATTTTCTGTTAATTTTAAACTAAAAGAGAGTTTTTCACCAACAGAATAATGGATAAATTTCCCTGTGGTAGAACATTACTATGGTAGCACTGGCAAATGATCTTACCAGTAAAGTTGATGGGCTACTTGGATGCTCTGAAGGGAACGATTCAGCAGGAGTTTCACTAGAGGGCTTTCAAGACTCCACTCAAACTTGAGTACCTTAAGAGATAAATTGATATCAAGAATCAATTTTATGCTGGCTTTTGTGTCCTTATAAAAAAATAATCATAAAGAACCCAGTGCTTAGCCTGAATGAAACAATCATACAGACAGAGTTTACTCTAGCAATGGAATGGGCAAAGAAACTTCAGGACACGAGAATCTGCCACCACCTGTAAGACAGGCAGAGACCATGCTGATTCTGGCTGTGTTAATATGTATGGAAATATGCAGCTTTTCTTCCCCCACTTAAAACTATCAATGCTGTATTTAATTTTTTATCTGCTTGTCTGGTTTGCAAAATAAACTTATTTGTGAAATAGAAGCTGTGGAAAGTGAAAGGTCACATTAGTGTGTGAATGCTGTAAAGCTGCGAAGGTTCCACTGCTTTGCAGTAAATATAATCATACATGCATAAGTAGATACCTATCTAGATGTACACACATCACAAACACACAAAACACCCCCTGAAAAACTCTGCAATGTGGAATAGTAAATCATGCTTGTGCACAATGCTATGAAATAAGGGAATAAAGCTTTCAAGAGTTCCTGCTCAATTGCAACACAGGACCTCCTCAATCACCAAGTGCTTTGGAAGCAGCAAGGCCACAACTTGCAAAACATTAATTTCCAGTGAAATGCAACATACATCTCTAAAGAGACAATGCTACACCCAAATGTCCAGGTTACTCTGTGTTGGCAGTGATTTCCTTGGTGTATATATAGTATTAAGAAAACTGTGATTTGTGGTAACACCATTTGCTTCCTTGAGTGCAATGAAGCCCTGCCACCTGCTTTGGGGATCAGAGCATAATTTCTACTGTTCAGATGCACTTTTTCATTTTTTTATTTTTCTTTCTTTCCTTTTTTTTTTTTTCATTATCACTTGAAAATACCTTCCTATAGTATGTAGCAAAGCTCAACCAGCAAGCCAAAAGAAGTGGAAAACAGTCCGTATCTCAGCCCTGTTTTTAATTCAAGAATTGCATCAGGTGACCAGCATTTCTTATTTACTCGACTGACAATGTATCAGCCCACCCGAAAGAACCAAAAGCATTAATGAAGTTATTGATCAGGACAGACCATTTCCTTGGCTATCAATTTCCTCCTTACCTGAACCAGCTGTGGGAGGTATTCTAACAACTCATCATTTGACATATTTTCTATCTGTTGGACTGCTGTTCTGCGAATATCTTGATCCGGAAAACTAGAACAAAACAAATAGGTATCATTAAGAGCTACCGATCCACTGCAACTCTCCTGAGCTCTCACTGATATAAAATGTTAGGAAAAAATGGTTTTCTATCAAAATGGAAAGGGAAAAAGATCAATTAATTTGCTTTATTGTAACAAGAGTCAAGAAACACAGATAACTTAATTGGATTGACTGTTACAGTGTCATACAGGGGAAAAAACCCCAACCTGATTTTCAAATACCTTTTTTAATTTGAGCTACCATGCATTGTAATTTCCTGAAATATGAAGTAAATTAGAGATCTCTTGCTGCTCTTACCTGAAATAGGAAATTTCTGTGCCATAGGAACTTTTAACTTTAAAACTTTTGTTCTGAGCAACAACAGAAAAGCTTGAGATTTCCCATACCAAGAGGGTTCATTTCAGATAATTTTTTCTAATATCAGCTCATCTGGATTGTATCATAAAAAAAAAAAAAAAAGCTCTTTAAACAGAAGCAATTTTTTTACAGAAGTAACTGAAAACACAGGTTGGTTTTTTTAGTCTTATTTTTGTTAACAGAAAATTTAGTAAAAAAATCTAACATCTTCCCCCAGAAAGGCTCCAAGTCAGTGAAACAGACATTTCTGATCGAAAAATGTTTGAGTTCTCCGCATAAGCTGTATTCTCAACCAATCTGGTTGAAAACAGAGTGGCTGTAGCCTCGTATAGATTTTGAGATGGAGAGCTCTCACTGTAAAAAGGATAAAAGAAGAAAACATAGTACAGCAGCGGGGATAATACAGAGAAAGAAGCCTGGGTAATATAAATGGTAAAAACATTTTTCTTTAAAAGAGAATGAAATTTTGATGCAATCTGACTGATTGAAAATGGCTCTCAAGAAAACATTTTCTCTCTTTTTAGAGAAAAAAAAAATCAAAACCTGTACAGTATCTCTTTTAACATCTGAAAGCCAAAAAATATGATTTCGAGGACTTCTTTTGAAAATACAAAAAATAACTGCTACCTTTTCACATTCTGCAATTACGATATTAATCATTAAAGGTGGGACCCAACGATCTTGAAGGTCTTTTCCAACCTTAATCATTCTATAGTGCCATACATGCAGAATTTCAGGTACACAGAAGTTGCCTGGATTGCTTCAAATTTAGCGGGTTTGCTACTGTTCTGCTTTCACTAGGACAAGAACAGATTTGCTTTCCTGTGTATGTCTCCTACGCGTTTTCACCCTTATCTGTGTATCAGTACTTGCATGTTGTCCATTGCCATCCCAAGAATCTTTTCTGTCTTCTCCTGAAGCAAACTGGAACTGTTCACAGAGACCTTCCAGTTACCAGAGCTGCAAGAAGGATCATCTCTGCCTAAGGGGCAAAGATGTCTTCAAACAGCACCCCAGTCAATTGGATATTGTTCAGAAGAGCTGCTGGGCTTTGCTCCAGTTCTCTGAGGGCAAGCACCTGCCCCACAGAAAGCAGCAAATCCCTCCCCTCTGAACTGATATGGCTGTCAGGGTCTTTGGAAACACCTCTGATTTGGCAGTCTCTGCACACATAAAAATGACGACTAAAGGACATGAGTTATCTTGACAATTCACCCCGAGGAAAGTCCTTTGAAATCAGAACCATCATGCGGGCCAGAAGATGTCACAGGCCAAAAGTATTATTGCTTCAGGAGCTCAGCACACAACCAGACTGCTCTCTTCCCACCTTCCCATCCAGCACCTTTTGTCAACAATATACCCAGTAGAAATAAAAATCAGAAGTGAAACAGAGGAGACGATTCAATATTTGCAGCAACGACTGGTCATTGCTATCAAGCTAAAATGAGAAAAAACTGCAAAGCTAAGTGCTCAGCAGTATAATGGCACCTGCTGCTTGAATCTTGAGCTTTTAAGTTAAGTAAAACAAGCTGATGCAAAGCAGTATGTATGCTTTGATCAGTGAATTAACTACAGGCCATCAAATAAAAATGTGGATATTTTGATTAAAAAAAAAAAAAAACAACGGTGAACAGTTGGATTTACTTGAAAGGCCTGGTTTTCTGGGCTGCAACCAGCTGCCACCTGTAGCACTTTCAAACCCCCTTTTAACAGTGCAGCTCAGGTCTGGTTTTATTATTTCATTTGTATGTTATGGTACATATTTGATTATGTTTCTAATACACTTCATAATTCTTTGTATAATGCTGAGAGGGCCTTGATGGGGAGAGGAGGAATACATTACAAATAAATTATCATGATAGACCCAAATTAGCATCTTCTGCAAGGCTTATTTTCTTTTTTTTTTAATTTATTTTAGGCAACCTATTAGAAATGAGAAGTTGTTACTTTAATATTCACATGGCTATTTAGAAAAAAAAAAGCATATTTGAAGGAGGTCTATATGTTAAAAAAATAATCTCTTTCATATCATCCTATTTTCTAATTAGGCAATTGCTCCAAAGGGTGGTGTGCCAAGCATGTGCACATAATATGGAAATTAGTCTTTCCCTTCTCTCCTAGTTCAACAGGCTACTGAACAGTGAAATACACTCTACAGAGGCACCAAGTCAAGCAGAAAAATGTTATTACTTAGTTACAGCTTGTCCTTACTAGCAGCCAAAATCTAAATATATATGCAATGCTATAATGAGGGAAACTCTTATTTTTTCCAGCTAAACAAAGAACAACAAAATTATTTTAATCCCAAACTTTCCAGAAAATTCAAGAGCTAATGTTTGATTTATTTAGAATTAGTCTGCTGCAAGTCAAAACTGGGGCTATATCTAAGTTACCAGAGGTAGCACAGGGAGATGGGATTAGGATAATGATGAGCTCAAACGCATGGGCACTGCTATTAAACATCTGCAGGGCAGTTTGCTTCAGGAAACAGCTCTCTTGTCACTATTCTTGAACAAGATTTCAGTGATTTATTGGTCCTGGTTACTAAAATGTTTGCTTCAGCTTGTAAATCTCCAGGTCAGCCTGAGGATTAGTTGAGTCTTTTTAACAGAATGGGCAGTTGGTACATTTTTTTAACTACCTGACAATCTGTTGAACCCTCCATCTAATAGGCATTGCTCCCTTGAATTTCAGTGTTCTTCAGGGCCACAGGTACAACAGGTAACAGATACAACATTTAATTTGTATTTAAATATTGTGTACAGGTAAAATATTTAATTCTACTTGTTTTACCCCTTACATTTGTATTTGAGCAAAAGTTTAACATCTTCAGGAATATTAGAGTTATGGCAAATTCTTAAGAACTCCATTAATATTACATGGTGCTTATGCTATTCGTGTTCACATACATCAGTTTATTTGCTAAAGCCAGTAATAGGGTACGGTCTAGAAGCAGATCTGAGTAAAAAAATCTACCCTTCGCATGCCTGGAAACTATGCCATCTTGTAGGCTGGTAATTAATTAGGGCTGGAGGGTTTTTTTTCCCAGTGAATAATCTTGCAAACATTTGAGTTGCATCAAATCTGATTTTAATAATCCATAAATTGCTCTTGATTAGAGGACACAATTAATTGATTTTTTTAGCTCTGTGACTCAGTGCAAGAGAAATCCCTTCAGGCTTAAGAAAAAAAGGTTCATAGTTTGGATATTAGAGGACAACTGATTTCCAGGGCTTTCTACAATGAATATGCAATTATTTAAACCTACTGAAAACTCTTGAAAGCAAAAAAGTGAGACGACTTTACAGCAACAAATTCAATATTCCAGTCTTTAAGGGTACATGCCCAAGAAAGAGGAGCTCATCTGTAGCGCAGCTTGTCAACATCAGATCAATTTTGCAAAGGACTTGAACCTCAGATTGTCAGATTCCTGACATGTGGCCTCTGACAGTGGCTTCAGAGAAGCAGGGCATCTGGGGACTCATCTTCCCCAGATGTTTTATGTTTTTCACTAAAACACAGGAGAATTTAGCTAGGGAAAAAAAAAAAAAAAGCAGCAAATTAAATGGTACTTTTCACCTAGTTGTAGATTTCCTTTTACTTTTGTTTGTTTGTTTGGTTGGTTTTTCTTTTTTATTTTTTTTTCTCTACAAACGACCTTTGGTCAATAAATACTGCAGTGAAGAGAACTACGGATCCCCCTTTTATTTGCCTTGCTGTATTGTAAAATCTCGTAGCTTACTTCTTTTGAGAGAAAAAAATTAATTTGTTCTCTCTTCAGGTAATGCATATTCCACAACAGAGATTGTGACTTCTTGCAAGTTTGTTCCAGGTTTACACACTCAAAGACTCTTCTGAATAACAAACAATATGCAAATTACAGTTGTTGAGTCTAGTCCGTAGTAACAGGTCACACTATGCAGGACTTCAAATTTCCCTTTCACAGCTCCTCTCACACCTTGGATTCTCCATAAATTGTGAAACTCTTTTCCTCTGATATTTAACCTCAACACCCTTTTTGCTGTTTTGTTCTTCCCTCCCTGCATGATGCCAATGACTGACAGCCACCCATTCTTTAATTTCTAAGTAGCTGTAGATTATTAGGTTTCCCTCAAGACTTAAAAGACTATTTTTGTGAAAGCTGAATTTTGAGCTGGATAAGCATAGATTACAACTTGCTTTAGAAGTAAGGACAACTTTCAGTGTTTTATTCTTTTCATACAGCCAGCCAGTCGGGAGCTATTTGTCTAGCTGTACCTTTCAGCTAAATCAGATTCAAACAGAAAACTAAGCACTGCTGAGGCATCTTGTGGATTTGTGAAATTCTCTGGAGATTTTAGCATCTTCCAGTGGTGAGTTGAATGTAAATGAGAAATAGATGCGCATTTCATTTTAAACAGTTTTTTTATTCTAATTTTTCTGTGCTGTTTAAAATAACCCTATGCTGAAATAAACTTGTCAGGTCATTGGAACTGTGCAATTCACTACATTTTCTGGCATGTGAGGATCTCTGCAGAGAACAGTATGGCCTTTCACAGGCCTTCTTTTTAGTTAGAGGTTTATCACATGCCACATATATTTCTGCAATTCCCTTCACATTTTAAGTTCTGTTGCGCTTTCAAAAAAGAAAGACT